AACACCCTGATAGTACATTGTATTCTTTGGCAACACCCTGATAGTACATTGTATTCTTTGGCAACACCCTGATAGTACATTGTATTCTTTGGCAACACCCTGATAGTACATTGTATTCTTTGGCAACACCCTGATAGTACATTGTATTCTTTGGCAACACCCTGATAGTACATTGTATTCTTTGGCAACACCCTGATAGTACATTGTATTCTTTGGCAACACCCTGATAGTACATTGTATTCTTTGGCAACACCCTGATAGTACATTGTATTCTTTGGCAACACCCTGATAGTACATTGTATTCTTTGGCAACACCCTGATAGTACATTGTATTCTTTGGCAACACCCTGATAGTACATTGTATTCTTTGGCAACACCCTGATAGTACATTGTATTTTTTGGCAACACCCTGATAGTACATTGTATTCTTTGGCAACACCCTGATAGTACATTGTATTTTTTGGCAACACCCTGATAGTACATTGTATTCTTTGGCAACACCCTGATAGTACATTGTATTTTTTGGCAACACCCTGATAGTACATTGTATTCTTTGGCAACACCCTGATAGTACATTGTATTTTTTGGCAACACCCTGATAGTACATTGTATTCTTTGGCAACATCCTGATAGTACATTGTATTTTTTGGCAACACCCTGATAGTACATTGTATTCTTTGGCAACATCCTGAAAAAAGCCCTAAAATATTATCTGATTTTGTTTTCTACACATATTACTTGTCCTATAAAGCAAATTGTTAAAATTTTCTGGGAAGATGTGAGTACGAAGGCTAGCCCATATAACCAAACCTGTCGGACATTATAATTCGTCGTTGAAACAAATTACATCAATTGAAAAATGATCTGTTAATGATGTCGCGCAGAATTATCAATACGTAAAGAATGTTTTAAAGAAACATGATATTGACTCGGATCGGATATGAGTTGCAATTTATGGCATGCCCTTGTACTATAATCCGGATAGCTTTCCTGTCATAAATTACAGTTTCTAAACTTAGAATTCCTAACAATACAATACATGAAGTCATAGCTATAAATTTATCTATAGAGGATCCAAAGTTCACTGACAATTGACAGATATTTATTTGCTACTAAATACCTGTCTGAAGTATCTCCTTAACCTAATGAAAATAGTATATTGCTACACGTGCCGGTATTCTGTACGTCTGACGCTTCATCCTGTTAATCTTATGTTAAATAAAAAGTTCATGTTGTTTTTTGGTTATTTTTAATCTCAACTTGAATGTTTAATGTTTCAGAATTTTCTTAGGAAGAGTTAGATGACACAAATGCTTATTAAATTTATATTTTTCATAATATCACAATAAAAAAAGTTATTTCAAGTTAACTAGTCAAAAGCCTTTAAATAAATTTTACCAAGATTATACTAAAATATTAAAACTAATGTTTTGATCTTAAAATATGTCTGCAAAAGATTGATTTTATTTATTTGAAAAAAAAATCTTGCAAATTTCATCTCAAAGCACTATTAACAATAAATCGCTGGGTGATATTTTGTGATATTATTTTTATTATTTTGTTTTGTTTAAAATGTTTTGTTTTCCATCAGAAATTTTGAGAAGCTGCCGAGGTTGGGGCCTTGAATTCAGCTTTTGAACCTACTATGCCCACTTACAGGGCAACGATTCATTCATTGCACTACTTTTTATTTCTTTCATTCACTCGTTCAGTCATTCAATCAGGATCAGCAATCACATTACTTGCGTTTTTTACTCGCACGGTAAGAAAGCGTTCATACAGCAAAATTCAATAAAATGAAAAAGTAGTTGTGTGCTACGAGGGTCTAAACGTGGGAGGAAACGGAAGTTACTGGAGGAAACCCACGTTATGAAGCTATAAATATACTGTAGACATTATCACTTTCCTGGGGTTGACGGGAACCACAAGTGATGCACTCTAACTGTTCCAAAGCATCTGATATCACTTGCTATTTTGGTGGGTGTCCGTTCTATTTTCTCTATTGTTTTTTTTATCGACTTGCAGCTGCACTTTGGCCATTTCGTGCTTTCGTTTTTAATTATGTTAAGTAATAAATGTTTTTGAATTCTTTTTAATGGGTGTCATAAATTGTTGTTAAACACGTACCGATACATCCATATGGAATAGTCTCGATCTCTCCAAGTGTCAGTTGTTTTGTTTCCCACATACTTCCCCGCCTGCATGTTTAGCGATAACACGTGACGTAGAATGTTCCTGTTAAACGTCGATTGTGTGTTATGAAAGTTGACTTAGAGAAGTTAGTTAATGTCCAAATAACGTCTGATAAACCGTGGAGCACGATATTGTAGTAAGGTAGCATGCACCCTCAATGACCTCCCTACCACTGTCAAAACCTGCTATAGTGCACTGAAAACCGATTATCCTGACATAACTATACATCTTTTCCGAAAAGAAAACCATACCTTGGTGGACTCTCATTAAAAAGTATAATGAAGAGTGTTCAAAGTGTAAAATCTCAGCGTGGCTAGACCGAGATCAAAACCCGATCCTGCAATTGTTATACTGTCGAACTATTCTATTGCATGATGAGCTACATGGTTAATGAAGGTGCCCTGGCCCAATCTTGCGCTACAGTTATATCCAAAACGAGATAAAGAGTGGTTATACTTTATACGAAAACTAGTATACGAGTGGAATAAAACAAATACTAGTGGAATGTTCGTGTTTTGCCTGTACAAAGAATATACTGACAGGTCTTTCACATTTGCGTAATTCTCTTTTATATCTTACATACAGTATCATATGTTTGTCTTATTTATAATGATATATTCTATTATTTTATTTTTTTATCATCAACTATTCTAATCAAACACAATCAAAACCATATTGAATGCCGCTAGAATAATATTTCAATAAACAAATTCTTATCAAGAAAATGGATGCAAAAATGTTAAAAATGTGATATAAAGCTTAATTCATATACAGGTAACGAAAATGATGCCGTAATATATGGTATGATTTATAAGTTGTGTAAAGAGTAAACTGGGATTCCTACAAGTCATGGCGGTAAAGCAACTACTATTGTTTATAGGGTTACTGTTGGGGCTATATTTCATCACACCAACAGCGAATAAATTAGAAAATATTTGATTTTCTTATGTAAAAAATGTTCCAGAAATTATTTATTTTGTTTTCTTAATTTACGGCGTTTCCCTCACTGATGAAGTCAGGAAATAGCCATTTACTCATTAATCTGAATCAATTTTTTTTTAAATCCAAAAGGATTAGTCGAACTACTAATTCATTAGGAAGCTGTCTCGAAGAAGTTTTAAACCAACACTCCCACACAATACCAACGTCATCAAATGAATATTCATGTGATGAAAAGAATAACTTTTGTTGCGATATGTGTTCATCCCATTTATATATGATTTATTGTTTTGAACGCGGATTAATTCAGGGCTGAGAGTACGGATTTACCTGTTCTGTTCCGCGTTTGACTATGCAAAATTAACAACAAGCAGAAGAAAAAACACCTTAAAAATAAAAATAAACTTAATTGACTACCACAGATTTCTCAAACATTGCTTTTATTTACGACCGTTTTCCCGAAATTATTGATACCTGAACGACGATATGATCATTAATTTATCGGAAGGCTCTCTAAAATATCATAAACTTTATTTTTGTGTTACATGCAAACATTAACTCCGATGAGCTGTTATTACGACAGAACATTTTGTTCTACGTTATGTTTCTAACCAAATTAAGAAAAATTCGGCAAAATAAATTGAGGAATATTGATAGCCGACAGTTGTTAGTAGATTATTGTTAAAGGCGGTCACTACTGCTATGAGCTGTCCGGTATATCGCAGTTTGGAGTGAGAAGATGATACTGAACCTCGTTCATAAGTGTAAACACACTCATAAACAGCATTTTCCTATCACTATCTTTCTGAATTGACGTCAATCATGGTATGATACGCTAGTCTCTAACAATAGGGCATTATGATTGTTCTAGTTTTAGAGTAAACAACACTTGAAGAATCTACCTCTTAGAACCCGAAATACTTGTTGATCATTTCTTATCGAACCAGACATCTCCTGTTCAATAACCTATTACGAACATCAAGTGCACTTCTGATTTTCTCAAATTGTTTAACGTTATGAAATTTCATAAAAAAGGATCTTCTCTTCAGAATTCCAATCGTTAGAAATATAACTCTTAAAACCGTTTTGTCCTATTATTGACCTAAAATAACTTTTTTACCATTTTATGTAGATTTTCAATAAATACAACAGATTGTGTCGACAACCTATCTCCAACATTATGGTAATGATTTCCTTAAAAACATGACTTCTCCAACTTCGATGTCAAAGTTTAGGAAATGCAGGAAAACCCAGGATTCTGGAGGAGTCACTCTCTATTTTCTTCATATACGATCATGCAAAAATGTAAAATGCTCTAAAATTTGAAATCCACCCGTGTGCACAATGTTCGCATTGTGACTCATTCAACATATAGCGGTGTGAAAATGTTCGTGTTGGCGATGGTTCTTAAATCTAAATACAATTGTACTCTGAATAATTGTATCTGTGTCATTTATAAATGAATATTCAAGTGGCCGATATTTTCGCAAGAATTTACTCAACGCAGACAATTCAACACCGCTACAATTCCCACTTTTACTGTTTATTGATAACATAAGGAAAACCATTTGCTACTAAAACGTTAAGATAAATAATGGATACTAACCATTCTTTATATAGTTGATAACAAGGTCAATTGATACGATTGACCTTATAAACTCCTCAGACCACGTGAGAAAATCTAGACCACATAAACACTTTTGAGGTTTAGATAACTATTCTCATACGTCACAATATTTGCGATATATGTGTGTCTCGAGACATGTGCTACTTGAGGTAGCTAGGGATAGGCCTATCACACCTATACATAAACTCCTAAATCACATTATATCTCATTCTTCCTCTGGTTAAACTCGGTTGTCATTCTGTCCGATTCTATATAAAACGGACTTAAATCAACAGGAGTGCTTCAGTATCGAATATGCATTAATTATAAGGAGAGCTATTTATACTGTAGCTTGACTTTTTTGCCAGCAGTTGTGATTACATAAGGATCTATCTTTCTTTTATATATTTTCGCAGCTTTGATTTTCAGTATCAGCTTTATATTGACAAGAGGCAACTCTTAAACAACTTTCTTCAACATCTACTTTGAATGAACGGAGACAGTTCAACGCCGTTTTTGCAGTGAATAATTATAATTAACAATGATACAGCCAACCTAAGGTAGCTCCTGTTGTCAACTTCTCTTAACGGATGTACGCCCACAACGCATCTTAATTAATCTATCTAAGTTTATAGACACGACTTTAAAGGGTTCAGTATCAAGGTGTTATCAACGAATGCAGTTCTAACATAATATTTAAGGTTGACCTATTCTATTTTATTACTACGGTATGTTTTATTGTCAGTTGGTATGAGCACGGGACGTTCTGCATGTATTACTTGAGGCTCAACCCTGACACAGTGTAAACAGTTTCAAAATTGATGGTTAGGTATAGGGTTATAAATCTTATACAACTTCGGCGTAGTATTGTTACCACATTTAAACAATGAAGATCGACACGATGGGCTGCTATGTGACACTGTTCGTAGTTTTAGTCAGTAAGTATAACATTATTTTATCAAACACATTTATTGTGATTTTATTTCATGGTGATTCATGATGTAATTTCCGTTACGTAATATCATAGTTTCAATCCAAATTATTTTTTGTTTGTTTGACATTGTGTTGTGTCTTAACGCCATGATATATCTATGCTGTTCATGTGTTTTGGCGCTGGTATGTTTATGCTGTCTGTGTGTTTTGTCACTATGGTATGTTTATGCTGTCTGTGTGTTTTGTCGCTATGGCATGTTTATGCTGGCCGTGTGTTTTGTCGCTATGGTATGTATATGCTATCCATACTATCAATGTGTATTGACGCTAAGGTATGTGTTTGCTGTCCATATGCTTTGACGTATGGCATGTTTTTGCTGTCCATATGTTTTGACGCTTTGGTTTATGATATGTATGATACGTTTACACTTAGATGAATGAATGCATGTGAATTTATATTTTGTGTGTTAACGTACAGAACGCTTTTCCCTGATGTGTTTGCACCGTCCTTGCCTGTTGGCTATATTGTATGGTTGGTGTTGCTTAATGTTGTAGAAACTGTGGTATTTTGGAACACATCATTTGTCTTGATTACAAATCTTGAAATTATGTTTCAACAAAGCGACGATATCGTCGGTATTCCTCGGTAGGTTCGTTACATTCCTCCATGTACATTTGATCAATGTTTGCAAAATCGAACATGGGTTACAAACAATGGTTCCACAATAACTTAATATCTGATGGGGAATCTTTGTGTTTTACAAGGTAAAATAAGGTGTCAATAACTGTAACTAGTATGTCCAATTAGCATACACCAACATTATATAACTATATATCTGGTATGTGTTTTCTGTATTTGGTTAATCTTCATTTTGGTGACTTCATATTCAATTCAGCTTTATAAGCACATTTATCATAGCAAAAGTAATTGGTAACCTAAATAAAACATTAAAAAGTACAGTGCAATCCAACTTCCTCGAATTCGAATTACTGGAATATTCCAATTTGTTTTTAAACGACTATTGTCAAACACTTTCGGATTACACAAATACCCTGTGTTATACGACTACTTAAGTCCATTTTGTTTATCCTATCATGTGCTATAAAAGGCATATCATATATACCTACATGTAAAACAAAATATTTGAAGTCGAAATGGATCCAGGCCTATTTTACTCAATGTTAATAACTGTTTAATAAATAAGTCTTAATTTCAAACGCTATGTTACCAAGGGTCCAAATGGACACGTGGTCTACTCATATTTACGATGTTTGACTTGCTGCATTACGAAACTTAAGTTTAAAATAGGTGGTTTCTTACTTCGTATTTCAAGTGATTTTAACTAATTCACTCCTGGAATTTCATACTGAACTATTCAAACCTTTAAATTGGAAGAGTTCACATGTGTCTTCAGGGGAGAATGAGTTAATATTTGTACAATTCGCTATTTATTTCTGCAATATTTTATGAATGGAATGGACTGTTTGATCACGCCCTGTGCTCCTGTAACATACGTGCCTTTTCCATGTTGTGATAACATTGGTTAAGGGATAAAATATATGTCACTAAAGAATGTTTATAGCTTTCATTGACTCTCCGACAGTAGAGGTAGCGAACGGTAGCTCTCAATGATATATTTACGTAGTAAATAACTAGTTACCATTTTGCATTATCAGGGTACAATTAAAAAGTTATTTATAACTGTAACATCTAAGGAATGTGAGGGGGAAATATTGCCTAACAGGCAAGTTAGCTTTTCCAGTAATTCGGTATAACCCCGGGACTCGCTCACTAGTTCAGCAACGTCTAGTGATGTCAGTAACTGGATGGGTGACCACCCGCACGTAACATAACGAGCAAAATCATTGTAAAACATTGTCACATTTTAAACTCCCATGGAAAATTGAATTAAGCGAATTGTGTTTGAAATACCGCATCAATTTTGAAAATTAATCTTGTAGATATATAGCCACGGAAGACGGTAAATTCAACTACTTGTTAAACCTGGTCTAAATTTGTTTTACCTAACGTAACAATAATCTTGTTTAAATGTGAAATGATGTTTATTTAAAAAAAAAAGAATTGAGGTAAACAAGGGCGTTCGTATTGAATACGTCAATCAACCACTTAAAGCGTGAAGGAAGCACTCAGTACACCGTATGTTTAAGTGTTAGGTTATCTCTATAACCGACATTCATATCACCATATGGTAATGTTACTGAAAGTTACTTAACAATAATGTAAACGGTTGTCCTTGGTTCGAATCCTTGTCCAGTTGTATATTAAACAACTTAAAAACTTTTGCTTACAGTTCTAGTTAATTACTGGTTAAAAGATCCTATTGCATAATTATGGGTTTTGGCAGTGGTATGGGGACCTTTCAAGTAGTTATCTTAATATTACACAGGCGCCATACATGTGTCACGTGGTTTGCCTGCCATTGCAGCTCAGATGTGCAGTGACGTATTAGGTTTGGATTGTTCAACCGACTATATCGTTCACGGAGAGGAGGTTTTGTGCGGGACGGACGGAGTAACCTACCAAAACAAGTAAGCACTCAGGTTTAACCACAACATTAATATTTGATCTTCGGAAACGTATCAAGTGTTCAGAATACCATTAAATGATTGAATAGAATTTGCTTTTTTACTTTTTTAGATATGTAAAATACATTATAAATTGCTGACGTCACAAAACAATATCATTGTAAATGACTACAATATTCATAAATATAAATATCATGTCCTATATTTATACAAAATGTTAAGAACGGAGTTATCAAACCTATAAAAAGATGAATGCACAGTTTAGGGTGATATGTATAATGATACATTGGTATTTAAATTTAACGGGAGTGAATAAAGATATTTTAGGTCACCTGATACAAAGTCTCAAATTTATTATGGTTTATAATGGCAAATGATACTTTGAATATTACAAGTTAATAACTTGATTGGAATTATAACCCTGAGTTGACAGTTTGATACTTTAAAAAATTTGAGCCAGCCCTGTCCCAAGGGCTGTAGGGTGGGGCCCAAAGGAGTCGGTGTGCTGAAAGTTCTTCATTTTCCTTGTTTAGAATCAGAGGTGCTAGTTTCAAATACTGTTCAGTCTTAAATCTGTATGCTAGATATTGAATAAGGTGGTTTTATTGTTTTTTTTGTCACTTTGATTAATATTTCTGTTCATGTTAAAAACAAAATCAACTCTCTGTATAAATATATCAGATGACCGTTAAGGCCCATGGGCCTCTTGTTTAGTAATATTTTCAAAATGGGATGATTTAATTTGAGCTCTCTGGTGCTAAAAAACAAAATCTTTGGGTAAGTATAATTATTCACATATTAGAAGAGAAGAATTCAAAGCATTTTCACCAAGAATGTATTTCGATAATTGGGACAATAAGCTGTTTTCTCGAACTTTAAGCGTCAGCATCTAGTCTAATTTCCCAACGCGACGTTTCAGTGTCATGTTTATTGTTAAATTCCGACGTCATAGTGGGTGATGTTTATTGAGGTTATCCGATAAACATGACATGAAAGTAATCACGTAATACTCAATTTAATTTAATTTCCCGTAAGTGTAAACGTATGTTAATGGGTTAAATGTGGACGACACTTTCTTATATCAAAAGTATTCAATAAAACAAATGCAATTTAATGCATGTTAAAGTGAGGTGTAACAAAAATCGTCCCCAATCCGGTAGTTACTGAAAAGAGGTCAAACTAAATAAATCTGTATTTTGGCAAGTATATTGGTAGGATGGGGTGCTTAGTAATCGGTATAATACACTTTATGTTACGTCATGCTTCAATTGTTTTACATCAATTACAGGTGTTTTCACGTGCAGGCACAGTGCAATGACGTCACAATCAACAAAGCTTATGATGGCAAATGTAAGAATGATATCACAACAAACGCCGAAATAACCACGACCGCACTGGACACAACATCGTCAAAGTCTTTAGAGGCGACAAAAACGACAACCAAGTACGATTTCCAGTTAAATGAACAATTTTGTAATTCATCACTAGACGAACCATGCCCAATGGTACTGGACCCGCTTTGTGGAACTGACTTTAAGTTTTATCAAAACGTGTAAGTATTTCACAAGAGACTTCCTTCACAGACCTGACGTAAGTTAGTCCTCTTCGTGCTGAGTTGCACATAAGGCCATTGCCAAAGATTTCCATTCTCTCTGTATTGGGACCACTGGTGTATTTGTCCCTATGTCCAGTCTTTTCCTTTTATTTATTTTCTCAATAGACCATCTGCAGGTTTCCTTTTTTCTTCTTCCTCTCTTTCTTTTTCCTGACGGTGTCTAGCTCCTTGCTACCCTAGGGATGGAATATCCACCTCCATTTCCTTCACATAACTTTTTGTGAAAAGGGAATAGTGTGTGTGTCCGCTGAAAAAGCTCCTTATTTGCGATGTCTGAGGCTAGAAATGCGCAACTTTCTACGGAGGCATCGATTTTGGAAGACATTAAGCTTGTTGTTAATAGCATTTATTGTCTTCCAGGATTCTGCACCAAACAGCGGGACTCACAGTATGTTGTTTTTGAGGACCTTAATTCGGTGTCTATAGGCCTATAACTTACATGAAAATATTGTTTTTATCATACAAACATTTTTACTGGAAACTGCATTGGGTGCGACCTATTGCTTAAATCAGAGTTTATAATTTTCTTCCTCGGTAATTTGCAAACATTATTGAAATAACATCTTGTTAAAAGACGTTTCTTTACTTTGTAATCTTTTTGTTAGTAACATTTTTACGTAACAAGGCGGTTGGCTTTGCTATTGGACTATCAATACCCGAAGTTGCTGTAGTCTATATCGGCACAGTTAACAAGCGTTACTGATTTAAAGATAAAGGTCTTTTGTAGCCATAAGTTGTAATATGTTCGAAAGTTCATAAGGGGTTTTGTGCCCTTCCGTTGTATGTTCAACTATTTTTCAGGACACATTAGACTTTGATTTCCATCATTTTGACCTATAATGCTTGATGTACGAAATGACCATTAGTCGCTTGAAAATATCTCCTTTTCCAGGTTTCGGCATCGGAAAACTTTATTTTCAAATATGGGTTTTTATTCATTGCGTTTTTATTAATTATTCTTCAAAGGAAAGCTACATAATTTGTCCCGAAACAAAGTACACAGAAAATAATGTGATTTACGATAATTAGGCATAATTTAAATTTCTTGCGCTTATTTCATAAATTTATCGATCTGAACTGAAACACTTGATTTGTTTTCCTGAAAGTCAGTGTTATATTTTGTAGGTTATAATATTTTTACTGTTTTTTGTATTTCAGGTGTGAATTCCAGAAAGTAAAATGTGTGAATAGAGATTTACAGCTACAGTCTTTAAGTAACTGCAAGGATGGAAAACAGAGATAAAATCTCATACGTGATTATAAAAGACTCAAAGGATACTCTTCGTATTCAAAAACCTACTAAATACCAAATAAAATGAAAATAAAACTAAAATTGCCTGTTTGTTGAAGTTTTATATTTTTTTTGTTAATTTAGAAAATGATGAATCGCAACTTGTTCATTCAAAAAGATATTAATACTAACCGAAGAAAAACCATAACAGCACGAAAAGAAACATATTTTATTTCCATTTTAAGCAAATGTTTTCTTGTTTGATACAAAGTATGCAGACTATAAAACACTTTTTCAAACCCCCTTTCATTAACAAATAATTGACCTTTTATATGTTATAGAAATATATCCTTCTTTACTTCAGGACGTTCTTTTCTCTCGGGAACAGTTCTGTTATATTGTTGTCTGTCTGGGGTGACATCGTGCCCAAGCCAGGAAGATGGCCATAGCAGGTTTAGATTTAGTACAGTACCTCCCATTATAGAGTTCCAAGTACAATGTAATATCAACGTGTATCAACACGCATAACAGGCGTTATAGTTCTAAATAATTGTTATAAGTGGCCATCTTCTCTGCGGGAATATTAACTACGGAAGAATAGTGCAAACGGGGAAAGTTGTTACGGAGAAATGGCGTCCGGAGTCAAGAAAAGTCTCGCATGGTCATGGGCGGAGTCAAGGGCAGACGAGAATACACTAACTAGAACGAGATAACGTCTAATAATGACCCTAGACATTGATATACTACAGTTGTATTTAGAAAAGATATTAATGATTGAAAAATAAACATGATATTCCATATCTGGAATAAACAACGGTTTCAAAGCAAATTCGTCATAAAATTAATAAAAGAAAATCGTTATAACGAAGTTTGTAGGTAGTACACATATAGGGGTTCCATTTTAATTCGATATTCTCTGGTAACCAAAATGCGATCTCATATAGAAATGTGAACAAAATTAATATTTAAACTCAAAATCGATATAACGATATAACTAGGGCAAAATATAAATGTAGGAAGGATTTACATATATACTCTTTAAAATGTACAAGGATAAAAAGAACTGGGTGTTCCGGAAGGATAAGCGTCTGAAGCGTCATCAACGACACCAATCATGTAAATCTAGGTCAAATCAGTTTAATGGCACGTCCTTTAAGTGAGAATCAACCAAGGAACCACCAGGACATAGCATTGAGGATAACGAAAACGTCGATATTATCTTGAACAAAGAAAGAAAGTATTGCCCAAGACGATGCTGAGGGCAACCCCAAAATTGGCCACATCCCTCCTCAACGTGCATCCCTCTAAACCATGTCTTATAACTATTAATTATATGATTACCGTGTTATGCAGTGTCATAAAGCCATCACATCAATTAGGTTTATCTAACGTGTGTAATATACCTCCGGAAATGACGTCACAAACGTAAAGAAACAATCAATGTGACGTGACGTCATTGTGAAGCGGACGCAATTTTCATCGTTTCAGAGGCGGCCAAGTGCTAAATAGTTTTTTCAGATCACTATTATACAGTTTAGTTTGTATTATATGATAAAAATTAATCTGTCATTTTTTTCCCTTCATATAAGATTTATGATACTCGTTTTGGATTTTTCATATTTGCTCGCCAGAGGCTCGCTACTATGAACAATCCAAAATTTGTATCATAAATCTAATATGAAGGGAAACTTATGACATATCTGTCAATGTTTGACATTGAAAATATGAAGTTCTCACAGATATACCAAATTTTTCTTGCAGTATTTGCTGTATAATAATCACTAGAAGTACGAAGGAAAGAAGCACCTTTTGTCAAAATCTTGTTTGTAGCTAAACAAACTACCGTTTTATTGCACCACATGAGCATTGTGTTCGTTTAGTACTCATCAGAAACAGTAAGGTAAACGGAACTAAAACTAATTACAAGTCTATGTTAAAAGTAATCCAAATCATTTTACGTATACTGTGAAAAGGGAATTGTGCCTATAAAGCCCTAATGAGATTACAAATTTACAATTATGAGCAACAACAGATACGTTATGTTTTAATAAGTGTTTCATGTAAACCAAAATGAATTCCAGCGAAGACTATACGTCCATCCTCTGGCATTGATAGTTTAACGGCAAAAACGTCACCTTGTTGCTTGAAGTTAGAAAGGAACCACTTCCTCAAAAACAAGCTTTTTGTTGATTAAAGAAGATGAAAAAAATTCACAAATAAGTAAAAATATGTACTGCACAATCTTTATGATAAATTGACTACTATGTACTATTAGTAATAAATATGTAAAAGTTTGATGAAAATATCTTTAAACAATGACGACTTATTTTCAAATTCCCATAAACAACCCCATTGCAAATCAGCGTTGTTGTAATATTATCTTTATACAGTTTCAAACTTGAGATTTATCCGGCCTCCTTTTGAGAGGCATACAATCTTAACAACATGTGTGAGGTTTAAGTGCATACAAATCATGTTGATTTTTTAGATATAATTATTTTAAATTTTATGTCTATTATGATATCAGATAAGAAATCATGTTGTGAAAATGTTAACTGTTTTTTATTTGATAACCTGACAACACAATACCTATCTGTACAGTAAACATTTCAACAGATATATTCTATGATGTCAACTGAGGACAAAATCCGAACGTAAGGTCTTTGTCTGTATAGTAAAAACATCAACATATATTTATAATATAGCGTCAATTAAGGTCAATTTTCGAACATACTGTCAATGTCTGTACATCAAACATATTGAGCAACAGCGTCAATTAAGGACAAAATTTGAACATGTCGATGTGACATTTAACAATTGAGACTGAAATGAGGCCAAACATAAGGATAAACATTATAAACTAAACAAAAATGGGAAACGAAACCAAGTGTTCCTGCGGTGTCATCGTTTCCCGTCAACTATGTTCCGCTTTATACCAAACAATATATCAGCCAGGCTAATCAGTCGTTGGCGACCCTTTGGCAGACTTTGATGTCACGATTGTTCTACTGTGAACCTGTTTAAGCGTTATATCTCCGACTATGTCACCGCTGTGTACTTAAACAATCTCGATAGACGCAATATGGAGGACTTACTATGTTTACTGTTCCTACTTCTCACAGGTGAGCTATTCATAGCACAAAACGTGCATTTCATATGTTGTTGAAGTCATCACACTCTTGATATGTTTTTGTTTATAGCCAAAACCAAAATGAAAATTAACTTAGATATGTATCCCATAACATCAATATAAAAGGTCAGAATTTGATACGCAAAAACGAAAATGATAACGTCAGGAATCAAAAGTATATTAAAACTAAATGAAACATAACAACCGCAACAAAAATCTTGATATGAAGTAAACTAAACCTGATTTAATGTACAACACTTATGAGACTTCTATTTACCAATCTTGTCTGCCCGGATTGAAGCGAACGTGGAATCTTAATGTAGGATGAAACCGGCGAACCCGAAGAAACCTTTGTGATCGGGCAGGTGACTGAACACATTTACACGCCCGCCGAAAACAGAAGTAATTTCATTCATCTTCCATGATGTCTCCTGTTACTATGTGGGTCAGAAATAGTTTAAGACATATTGTTTCATGGTGGTAGACGTAGGTGGAATAAGGTCATGCTGCGATAGTAACTGATAGACATTTCTTCAGATAGCCTGCTTATTGACGCATGTATTACAACAAATGACGCAAGTTACTAAAAATTTAAAAACTAGAGTTTCAACTAAACCGCCAAAATTTTGACAAACAAATGAATAAGGGGAAAATAACAACGAGTCATTTGAAAAGTACATGGAGAGTGAAGACCAGGGCCCGTATTCATGAAACCATTCTCATGCTCAAGCAGGGATTTTGTGCTCAAGCCTAATTTCTTGTTCCGGTTATACATTAACGACAAAAACATATTTTGTCAATAAGTTTGAAAAAAGATTGAAGAAACTTAAAGCCAAACACTGTTTTCAATGTTTACATTTGATTTTTTGATCGTTTGGCATGATTTAAGTGAGTTGCAAGAAAACTGCTTTGAGCACAGAATCCATGCTTGAGCATGCGAACGGTTTCATGAATACGGGCCCTGGTCTTCCGGAAGGGAAAATGTCTGTGCTCATAGAGGACACGAGGACATCCGCAATGTAAATCTAGGTCACATCCAATTAATGTCACGTCCTCATGAGGAGAACAGTGGTATTGAGAACAAAACAACAAGGGACACTAATGAGCATGATACAAATATTGACCTTCTCACCATACATAGAAAAAGCATACTCGTAATTTGTACTGAGACCACAATGACGATTTCTTTATAAACTAAATCACTGTGTCTGTTAGTGGTTCTCCGGTAGCTTTAGCTTGTCATATTAGTGATTTCAAATGTCTTTTGGAGAGACAACCATGGGGGAAAACTAGGAATAAAAATTTAAGAGAGATGTATATCATCTAAATTAGTTGTTTCGTGTATGAGTTTTGGCCCATAAACATTTTGGAAGATAAGTTTTAATCCCTTACCTTTGTGCAGGTAAACATGAAAAATCCCGTATTTAAAAATTACCTTGAGACATTAACTCAGCATACATTTTGTAATGACATTGTATCTTACACAAAACAAATGTACTTCTTATGGCTTATACTCTTCCTTACACATTAGACCCATGATTTCAATAGAGCTACTTTAGTGATAGATGTGTTGTTGTTCTTTTCAACATATATATATTTTTTTTTCACATGTTATTTTACAAAAGACAGTACAAAAAACACAACTTGCATACCGTAGCGGTCTGGAGTTGGAATGGATTATTCGAAATTGGATAATACACATCTCGGGCGCAATCGAATTAGGTACAAGTTATAGGTGCATATGTGAATAATACACACTATTTGGTAGATAAGCTATGGTATCATTAAGTTAGAAAAGAGTAAGTTGTTTCCCTTTACATGTTGCGATATATTTTTCCACTTTATAATTGTACACTATTTCTCTCTTTACACTTTCTATAAAAAGTCTATCACCTTTCATACGTTGTTTGTAAGTGTAATATTTAACAATTAGCATAATAAGGTTCTGACATAATATGTTTTACCTATTTTCCCAAATATCTTGTTCTGCAAAGTTAATGTAAACAGAGGTTTTTGAGAATATCCAGTTTTCAAAAAGTAGCCAAAGCCTCTCTACATGCTCACATTCAAAAAATATGTGTAGTAAAGTTTCTTCAGATTATTTGCAGAATGTAATAAATGGGTTATTTTTTATTTTAATTTTTGTAAGAAAAGTGTTAGTTGCAAGTATTCTATGTATAATTCTATGTTTTTTAAACCACTGCAGAGTCACATCTGTTGTTATATTGTAAACTATAGTTTGTAATTTTATTAATTCAGAATTTTCATCAACACCTAGCACATTAGACCATTTGTCAATATATTTATTAGTGCATTGATGTTGATAAACGAAATGATACTTCACTGGCCGAATAATTACAGAGCATATGAGCAAGGGAGATAAGCATTACTCGCAAAATTTTATTTACCAGGCCACCACGAGTTCTCTCCTCTACCTTCATGCGTATATTTAGACGTTTTACACACAAAAGAATATTCACTACTTTTTCCCAATAACATATATCTATTTCAATAAATCAATAGCTCCGATTAACCAGCACGATTTATGTGAATATCAAGTATACCGAAATAGAAGAACCCCTGTCCCAGTCATGTAGTGTTTGAAACATTAAGGGTACCCTAAGTATTTAAAATGCACTCACCTCATACGATCACAAACAAAACTTTCATATACAACAATTGAAAATAGCCAAAGAAGAAGGAAACGGATTTGTACTGCATAGTCATCCTGGCATTCTGTGGTTACAAAGCAGATCTATAAACTATTTACACTATAATTAAATCAGGCATCCATACAGAAATCATCTACAGTGTATTTGCTCACCCAGCACAGTATATGCTGTATCTCGGCGTTGCCGTTGTCAACCCGTCGTCAAATTTTCTTTTGAAATGCTACTTGCAAAGAACGTCTGAAGGGAATTTGACAAAATCTAGCCTGGAAAATCAATGGCCCAGGAGACATAACGTTGTAATAACGGAAGAAGTGCCCCCTCCCCCCCCCCCCCCCCCCCAACACACACACATACGCACACACTTACTAGCGGGAAGAAGAGCAGGGAACAACAGGGGAAATATATGTGTCATTTCTTTTTTAAATTATTCGCAGTTTTTGCCAACGCTGTCGCAAAGTGTTTGCGGTGATTTGTTGATCTGCATTTTATGAAAAAAAATCAACAAGAGCACATTATTGGCTTTTATAATACAAAGCAAAGCATCGGGAAAAAGTCAATAATACTAATTAAAAAACCACCACCACCAACAGAACAGGGAATCAGTACCAGCCAGTACTGTTTTCATTCAATGTCGCTCTTAATAGTTCGTATAAAATCAATTATGAAATACTATACATTTGCAATGAATGTTCAAAATTCAACAGGTACATTAACTGTTGTTAAAGCAGCAGATCAAACTATTTTCGTTTCAGCTATTTTACATCAAGGGGAGACAGATCTGCCTCTAGTGTCTTTAAACCAACTTTGTAACCAGGTTGGACTCATCGATTGTGATACCGAGTACGTCAGCCACGGAGACGAACAGACGTGTGGAATGGACGGAATAACGTATGATAATTTGTAAGTCGCCAATAGCAAGGCCGGCAATAGTGTGATCTCTGGTCTGAGTATCCTTATAATGATCGGAGGTCCAGGGCAGGACCTAGATGCATTTGTATACTTTTTTTTCCTCTTCTTTCACTCATTATATTTGCTGAGAGAAAACGTGTGATTTTTATCAAAACATGCATTTTTATACTTAATACTCTGTTGTTGACCCTTTTTATGTTTATTTCTTTATAGGTATCTATTTAAAAAAAGTTATTATCCATGAAGTTGTCCGCATTATTTAAGAAGTAATAAGGAGGGTTTTCAGCATGATTACAACTGCTTTTGAATGTGATTGATAGGGATAGACATAAGAATGAAAAAAGTGATTTTATAATTGTTAAAATGCGGTTGATTTTTGTTTTATTAATTGTGCCTGTATGGTTCTATTATTAATATAATTTGTGTACTTATTTTCAAAAATGATTTAACGAAAAAATACATATTTAGCGGTTTTCGTACTTTCTTTCAAGATTCTACTGCGCTAGTAAATTGTATTTATTTGTAGTTGCCACTACAGTAAAGCTCGATGTTCCGACGTTAACTTAGGTATAGCCAATGTTGGCAGTTGTATTGAAAATGATCCTAGGAGTACCTCACCGCCTGACCACACGAGTAAGCCAAATTCCGACGTCATAATACAGGTATGACACTGTGGTGATTACTAAATTATTGTCATGTGTTAGCAAGCATGTGACCACAATTTTATTTAATTAATACAGGGGAAAAACCAAGCTAAAAGAAGTGACCCAATGAGCCGGTATCGCTCATATTGATATTTTAGAACAAAATTGTCATTCAAATGATATTGCTTGTACGTATTAAGGGGCATGGCCTGACCATGTAGCTAATCATAGTAGCATCATTGTATTCATCACCTCAAACCACGTAATACACATAGTAAGTATACAGATTTACACCACTTAATTATAGATATAAATTACTTAATGTTCAAGACCTTTAAGTTTAACTGTTGAAAGCGTCTTGAAATGAATCATAAACAATAAATAACATGGCAACTGCTGTTTTCTTGTAGTTTTTTTGTAAAAATGCTGATAACATTGACTGTACATTGGAAGATCGAGAGCCATACTGTGGTAGCAACGGCATGTTTTACTTAAACATGTAAGTATGACTAATATAATCGATTACCTCTATATAAAGTTAGATAGAGAAAACTTATCCCGAGGGTTTGACAGAGAGACCTTATCCCGGGGGTTAAACGTTTTCTATCTACATCACGCAGAAGTGATTGATTATTTCTTTTCTACCAAAGTTCCCTATGATCCCCATCAAATACAGGAATACAACTGTGGGGAAATTGTAATCCCAGTTAGGCTATTTTCTTAACTCGCTGTAAACTGACCCGTGACCTTTAACCTCAGTCGATACCTTTACCGTTGGATAAAGTTAAGACTACAGTTTATTTTGTAATCTATTAAAAATGATGAAAGGGGTTAGTAAAAATGGACCCAAATCATGAACAAATACGACTTAGACATGGATGTATTAATCAGACAATAGTTATTTTGTCATTTTTATAGTCTCATTTTTATATGCTTTTTAGAATTTGATCAAGATTGATTCAGAAAGAAAACTTTGATTTTATCGGCATTTGAAACTTGAAAAACCCTCAATGAACTTTATAAGAAGATTATATTCTATATCGAAATGTTCCCTGGTAAACAGAAAGACGATCTTTTCCTATACCGAGACAACCCCTGGTAAACAGGAAGTGGATAAACAAATAAATGAAATCACATTTTCCTTACAGGTGTGCCTTAGCAAAAGCAAAATGTACAGAACCAAACCTGGAATCGCAAANTGAAATCACACTTTCCTTACAGGTGTGCCTTAGCAAAAGCAAAATGTACAGAACCAAACATGGAATCGCAAAGTCTGCAAATTTGTAAAGATGCTGGTGTGCTACCACCGGTCGGGAAGTGATTATGAACGGCGTTTCTCTTAATATTATATAATTTGTTGTAGCTGTTATGTATTTGAATAAAAATCGTCTGTTTGGTATGCATCATTTTTTATAAAAGTTACGGTGTTACATAATAAAGAGTAATGCTATGACGTCATGAATTCGCAGAATTTACAAATTAAAATACTTTTTATTTCTAGTAACACTTTTGATTAAATATGTAAGTATCAATTATTTAGAATATTCAGTAAAGCATAAAATGAAGAAATCTTAATCTTGTTCCAGTTTCAATCAATGACCATTGACTTCAAAAATCTGATAGAAGACAGTATATGTGCCTGTATTTATGCTTACTTTATCTTCATCAGAGAAATGTATACTCCTTAAGAACTTCAATCAACCTTAAAATAATTAAAAAAAGGCAAAAAAAAAAGAATCCATTGTTATTAAAATAGAATACATCAATACGAAAGGGAACAAATAACACCAAAACCCATTGTAAGTCCTAAACAATACCAGAGATTACACTTTAACTCTGTATGATAGATGTTTCATGTACCGTGCGATGAACTCATTATAACATCTACAGTCTAATTAAGAAAGTGTCATGACCTAAGATGTCAACATTGAAAAAGACTTTTAACATTTTTTTCTTTATTGTTTCTCGCAAAACCTTAATTCATCTGAGGACAGGTGACCATGGAAACACCATCGGAAAAAATGAATTTCATTAGGAAAAGAAAGGATATATATTTCAAGTGTTGTGGTGGGGGTAACATATCAATTTAGGGTTCTTTAATGTCCCCTTAGTAGATAACAAGGGGGTTAACCATCGATTCTGCAGGCAACCCAACATTTCTTGACCGAGATATACAATGTAGTAGAATACAACGTACCTACGACCCCCTCCCCCTTCCGGTTGTTTATTTTGTTGGTGAGAACACACTATCAGTATTCTTCTTTTGATAAAACCTTAAACTTATATAACTCATCCGCTGAATTTTCAATGAAACTTTGTGGCGATATAAAATATCAAAGGTGAAAATGAGGTCGTTGTGTTGCTGATTTCAGCAAAGTTTAAGCGGAGTGTTATTCTGCGATTAATGAAAATATTTCGAACATGAATTGTAAGATACATATATGATGCAGATGGTTTAAATTAAAATACAAAATCAAACTTCACTGAATTGTTGAAAATCTACCTCTGAACACATTTTGTTTGAAGTCGTTTGACAAAGGGAAAAGTATTATGATTACTATCTATTATAAGAGTAACTTCCCCTTCCCATTTAGAATGATTTAATTGGAAAAGTTGTCAATCTCGTTAAGTATTGTCGTAGAAGAAATTCAATGTGAAATTTCGAGTGAAAATGTTCTGATAAATAAGGACCTATTGACGAGTTATCAACAAATAAAAAACTAGAAATACTATTGTTTCAGTATAATTTTAATTAAATTGTATCACACGACACACACAGAAATGAAAGTGATACAATAAAAGCTTTATAATAGCGAAAAGTATGATAACAGACAAACAATTGCTATGGAGACATCATTGGCCATTGTACTGCTATAAAATTTATATTGATATTATTAAATAACATAATATACATATTTTTGTTCATGATCTCGGTTTGAAACGTCTAGGTGACATGCAACAGTAATATCATATTATGATGAAATTACTTGTAGGGATCCTTATCCCATAGTAGTGAAGACACTAGGTTATTCATCTGTAGATTTTACGTATAGTAACTCCCCTCAATTTTACTTCGGATATAACTGTAGCGTAATGTAGTTCAGTTGTTAAGAGCGAACAGTATAAAAACAGGTTGTTTCAGGTTCGATACCTGGTTGTATGATTACACTGAGAGCACCGTTGTTGATTTCTACTTCTTTATTTTACCTTTATAATTTATTCATAAAAAGTTCCAACATTTATGGGTCTCTCTATAATATTCAGAATTACAGCCATGTCGGGGTTAAAAATCCAATGTATATCATGTATTTTTTTGAAGTGGGGCGAGGATCTGTAAACGATTTCTTTGGTTTGAATATCTACACTACATCATCACCGTGATGGAATTCCAAAATAGTAAAACGATAATTCAACAAACACTAAGAAAAGCGCTTACCGTAAAGTTAACTGTTTAAGTTAAATTATTAGAGACATCTTATATGTTTGGATTTTTTTAAAATTTTTGGTAATATTGTTAAAATTCTGGAGGCAATAAAAAGAACAACAAAAGTTTAAACCTATACAAATTGTTTTCATCGGAAGATTTGGTTGATCGTGTATATCTTAATGAGAACGAGGATAACGTAATCAACGACAATTTCCAATAAAATTCTTATTTCCCTCTAAGCATGATGAATTGTTTAACAAGAGAATGATGATAAACAGGGTTTTTTAACCGCGAAATTCAAAATTTAAAACAACGACTATATCGACACATATTGTCCATAGTTTTGTTATTATGTATATAAGAAAGGATATTCTAATTAGTTCAGCATTGATCAGAATGATGAAATAATAATAGCAGGGTTCTGGATTTCATTGATACTTTTGATAGATTTTACCATGAAACGAGGCGTCAATAGCGAAGGATAGGTTTTAACTTTTGGCTCCTGTAGTCGGGGAATATGACTTATTCTCGAGTTGTTTCCCTTGTTTAGTCTTACCAACTATATACTGTAACTAGGTAAAATCACAGGCCAAATTCCACGTATTGACATTCGATATTATTGTCATATAATTTACATTTAAAAGTGATCTATTTAGTTCCAAACGTTAATTTTAAATGTATGCTTATCTTATCTTTACCAATTAAAACTAAAACACATTATCACATCTGCCTAAATACCTTACACAAAATAAATTTATTGATCGATACATTCTTAAAATCCGCTGAAAGCTTTCACACCAAATCGATTATTTCATGTTTATTTTATTAAATATTTTCATCTTTCCGTCGGATTTGTCTTGAAAAAGTTTCACCAGTCACATGAAGACTTGGACGCGTAAAACCGGAGACCTCCTGGGCACGACATGACATGCGCAGTGCCTGCCCCGTCACACTTGATGAACTTTGTAGGGTCTGAGTGTGCCACCAACTTGCCCGCATTACCGGTACATGGATTGCTGGAGGTACCATGGTTTACGCATGTCAAGGCTGTATCGGACCAGATCGTAGTAGGAGGACATGACATAATGAATTTATTCCCCCACCCGTCGCATTGGATGAATTTGGTTCGATCTGGTGTGTACGGAAAGAAAGATTTGTTCTGTGCCCTGGCTTCCGGTGTGCAAGGATTATCATTTTGGGGACTTCCGGTTACGTCATCTTCCTGGTTTGAATTTCCGTCGTTTTGACCGTTGTCATCTTCGATACTGTCGCCGTTGTCGGTTGAAGGGATGCAGCTTTGTTTGGCCACGCTAAATCTCTCCCCAGGCGGACACTGTGTGGTGGTGTGACTATTCCCGCCATCACAAGTGATGTATTTGTTGTCGTCCAGGGGATGCGGGTGCAAAAGATGGCCGTCAGCGATGGCACAGGAAGTACAAGGATTTTGGACTGATGACGTCGTTCCTTAAGAAAGATATAAACAATGCCAGGAATATTTATAAAAGTTGTCAAGGATTTTGTACTGATAGCGTCGTTCCTCAAGGAATATATAAACAATGCTATGAATATTTATATATTTCCATTTTTAGGGCTTATCTGAATAACGGATATAGCTAGTCACCAAAAAGACAATATTATTTATACAATTAGAATTTATACATCACATCATCATTCGAAAACGAGACATAGCTGTCAGTAATGAACAGTGTAGGAAGTTCTGATCATATCCATTAGGTACATACCTTCACAGAGTTTATCATAGAAGTCACCAGATAAGTCTACGCTCTGACATTCTCGGATATTACCACCGACTCTGCATAGGATTAGATACCGAGTCATTGCGTCGACCGGACTTCCGCCGGCAACACTATGGTTACCGAAGGTAGTCACGTGGGCAGATACACAGCCTTGGTTACTGTATATTTTGCCAGTTGGACATTGGGAAATGTACATCTTTTGTGTATCGCCACAGGTGATGAACTTCGCAAGGTCTGTCGGGTGGGAGTGATACTTTGGTCCGCCCTCAATACAAGGATTGGAGATGTTATTCCAGTCGTTATTTTCATAGACTAAAATGGAAAATATCCTTTTTTACTCGTAGAATCAATTGAACTATAATAAATATCTATTTATCAAAATGTTAGAATTATTTTGGTGGCATTTTTGTTTGTTTATGAGTGATAGATAAATTGATTGAAAGTTATTCTTTATCAACTTATATTTTCACACATCATATATGTTGTCTAATTCCTCATAATGCAAATGTCTTTATTCCCTACTGGTTGGTGATATATTAAGCAACATTATATAGAAATCATATATATAATGTATATATCGATCAGTATTCCTAAACTGCATTTTGATTTTTTTTTAGATTTTTTTTTGAAAATATACTATTTTTCCTATTTGTTATGTAAATTGACCATTAAGGATACATGTTCTACTGCTAAAATTTAAGTATGCATTGGAACCTTTTTCCGATAGGACTACAGCTTTAGTACAACTTTTCTAAATTGAAGCTCCTGTGAAAGAAACGGTTTAGTGAACAGAACAAAATTCACAACAGTGTTCCGAGTACAGTGTTCCGAGGGTCATGACACTGTCGCTCTAACAGACGGAGCTACTTCGACTAGTCGTGCTGCAGTTTT